TTATTTGGGGGAAGAGGGCACCAGGTATCAGAGTCAGTTCTCTCCTTCCACTTAGTGGTTCCAGGGATCAAAGTCAGGACCTCAGGCTCTGTAGCACATGCAGAGCTCTGCCTGATCAGCCATTTCATCTCATCAGCTCCTGATTCTTAGTAAATCAAGAATTCTACCGCTTACACAAGATATAGTCAAACTCCTGCTTCCACCCAAACTGCTAGCTTGTGAGCTTGGCTCCTCCTGAGTGTCCTCACATTCTTCTGTGCCAAGGGGTCAGAGCACTCACGTGAGCTTTTCATTTTTCTGTGATAGTCCCTAGCCCAGATACCACGCAGCTGCTCCCCATCACGCCTGTTTGGGAACTGAGCTTCGAAGCTCTTCATGGTTTCTCAAAACCAGTAAACACAGAAGCAAAAACGGCTCCCCAAGCACTGCTCTCTATCGCTGAAGCTTGTGAGAATCAGACAGTGACAGATTAGGCTAGCCAGTGTTGGGGAGCAGCAAACTTCAACCAACCTGAAAGTCAGGTTCAATAGCTTTGAAGTGAAGCAGAGATCTGGCCAGGGAACAAGGAAATACTGTCAAGGATCTAGTATTTTTTTGTAAATCAACACAGAGCTAACAAATGACAAAACCGTATTTTAAAAGCAGGGTTACAGTGCAAGAATCAGAGGCCTAGAAGCAAGAACTCGATACTAAAGTCTGAGTCTCCAGGGAAATTTCCATCCAATGAGTATATGGGGACAATTTCATTTGGAAATGTGGGCAATAAGGAGCTAGGAAAGTTGGCACGAGTCTGTAATCACAGCAGTTGGGAACTAGAGGTAGGGGCTCGGGAGTTCAAGGCCATCCTCAGCTACATAGTGGGTCAGAGCCCAGCCAGTCTGAGCTATGAGACTCTCTCAGAAAAGGAAAGATAGGGAGAGAGGGAGGGAGGGGCAGGAGGAAGTGGGGAGAAGGAGGTGGAGAGAGGGGAGCAATGATTGGTGGAGAAGGAAGCTATGTAACCATTTGTATGGTCATGAGTTCTACAATGCAAAGGTGTAAATTTATTAATAACAACCTTATCTTTGCTCTTGGGTGTTTATTTTTCTTCATATACAGTACCAGATCTCCTTTTAAACTCCATGGGTCTAAGGGAACTACCCTCAGCTTGGTGGGGCTGGTATGCCCTGTCCCAGCGTCACAAGGGAGCACCCTGTCCATGTAGGGGTTGTGACAATGTCTGCTGCTGCTGCTGCTGTGGAGATGACTATCTCCCAGCCTCACCTCAGCTCTTCAGATTCAGCCCGCATTCCAGACCCCTCCTGGGAAGTCTGCACAGTTCCACCTTCACTCTGGGAACTCCACCACAGGATATGTGATCTCACGATACCAAGAGACCCTTGTCTTGGCCTCTTCCACCCATCTCATTTTCCCGTCTTTCTCCACGTTACCAGGAACCGTCTACGCCCATCTCATCAATCGATGGCAATGAGGGAAAGTTACGGTTCCAATTTCTTCTTCTACTGTTAGGTTTTTATTGTGAATGACATCTGCTGTCTGGGACTGGACATGGTGGTGTAGACCTGTAATCTCAGCACTTGAGCGGTGGAAACATGAGTTCAAGTCGAGCCTTGGCTGCACAGTAAACCCAAAAGTTCAAGATCCTGTCCCAAAACAAAGCTCTCTTATTTCACTCAGTTGGGGAAAATAACACAGCCATTAGATACAATTATAGCACAGATAAACACTCGTAGGAGTTGGTGAGTTCCGGCAATTTCCCCAGGATCACAAAGCTGATAAGTGATGAAGACAAGATTTGACCACTCTGACTGGCATATGCTTGTGACCCCAGCACTTGGGAAGTGGAGACCGAGGACCAGGAGTTCAAGGTCATCCTTCACTACATAGTAAGCTTGAGGCCTACCTGGGCTATGTAAGACCCTATCTCAAAAAACGAAAAGGATTTAGACCTAGGCCTGCTAGACTTGCGAGCTCAGGCCCTCTATCGGACACTAAGCTGCTGTTTTTCGGTTTGTTGTTTCAGGTATGATGAAAACGGCTTTGTTAAAATAGTCGAAGCAAATTTTATCGTGTGGGAAATCCACGGCAGGAACGACTATACCTTTAATTATACTATGAAGCAGGTAGGACATCTTGGAATTTAAACAGAACTTAGCATGCAATTAAACATATTCTTCTGCTTTTCGATTTATATGTAAATTATCTAAGGAAAGTGAAACCAAGCCATAATAAGTAAAAGATTACGTCAACTCTGTATTAAAGTCAGTGACTACTGAGACTCATCTCTGAAAAGGGGGCTGTTGTCCCATAAAACAGGCAGAAGAAAGGTCGAAAAAACAAAACAAAACAATGTAACGGCAGGATGATGCAATTATATGTGAGTATTTTCTTTTCTGTCTGAACTGTATTCACTGTTTAATTATTTATAGGTCCGCCTTTGGCTTTAAGACATCGGTGCTAAATCAAATGGGTGCTATTTTTTTTTAAATATTTATTTATTTATTATGTATACAGTATTCTGTTTGCATTCATCCCTGCAGGCCAGAGGAGGGCCCCAGATCTCATTACAGATGGTTGTGAGCCACCATATGGGTGCTGGGAATTGAACTCAGGACCTCTGGAAGAACAGCCAGTGTTCTTAACCTCTGAGCCATCTCTCCAGCCCCAAATGGGTGCTCTCTAGGTTCATCTTTCTCCATGTCTTTGCATCATGTGACCCTACTGACTCCTCATTCCCTTCCATCCTCCAAGACCAGCTGATGTCGGCCTCCTGGACCACCCTCCTACTCTGCCTTTTGCAATCACCCTTCCTACACCCTGTGGGGTTTGTTTTGGTTTGGTTTTGTTGTTGTTGTTGTTGTTGTTTTGTTTTGTTTTGTTTTGTTTTGAAGCTTTCCCATGGATATAGAGCCTTCTAGAAGTTGACAGCATGGACTTCCTGAGATTCCCTTGAGATCTCAGGCCCAAAGAAAACCAGAGTGACTCCTTTCTATGTGACATTTTTTCTCATTAGAGATTAATTATCGGAGATATACCACCCACCTAGAGGGCAACCAGGAAAACTTCATTATACTGGACCACTGTGAGAACTCAGTCTTCCAGTTATATAACCAAACAAATCCATCCCACCACACATTCCCCTGGGGTTGTTCAGCATCCAATATGGAAGACCTTGTGGTCTACCTCTTTCCCGTTGATACATGATTAAATTACTCGTGTGTGTGTGTGTGTGTGTGTGTGTGTGTGTGTGTGTACATTTGTATGGGTGTGCACATGAGTACATGTGTGTGGAGGCCAGAGGACAATCCTTTCATCTATTGCATAGAGGCATTGCTGAGAGAAAAAAAAAAAACTATAAATGAAGACTACATTTCCCAGACCCTTTTTTGTGGACCCATGACTGATTCTCATGACTACAATGTGAGCAGGAAGTCTATCTATCATTCTCCCATGGATCTCCATACTTCCTGTCACATTATTCATTACAGTATCAGCTGTGAATGGACTAGACATGAACTGAAAGAAATAATCCAGAGGAGGAACTTCAAGGAGCCACCATGTAAATGCCCGGCTTCCCAATTCATGCTTCAAGGAGAGCTGCTCACCAGATATGTGTAACCAGAGATAACTGAGTTAGGCTTTGTGTAATCCAGAATTAAACCTTTGATTGGGTGTGATGAGACACACCTGTCATCCTAACACTTGGGAAATGAAGAAAGGAAGACCAATTCAAAGTCCTATGTAGGTATTTATCAAGTTGTAGGCTATTTGGGGCTATCTCTGTCTCAGATAACAAATGAGCCATTTTGTTTCAGTGCAGCTGAAACAAAGGAGAGCTCTTGCCTGGTGTGCTGGGTTAGATTCTTAACATCACAAAGCAGGCGTGGTGGCGCACACCTTTAATCACAGCGCTCAGGGAGGCGGAGGCAGGTGGGTCTCTGAATTTGAGGCCAGCCTGGTCTACAGAGTAAGTTCCAGGACGATCAGAGCTACACAGAGAAACCCTTTCTCAGAAAAACCAACCAACCAACCAAACAAACAAACAAGATTCCTAACATCACACTACAAAAAAGCAGACTTTGCTCACGTCCACCCCTGTGAACAGTGCAGACCTGGGGTTGCACAGAGCCATTAGCCTTGAATGTGAGTCCAGACATCACAGCTCACCCATAGTGCTGCAGCCCTCCTGCCAATCCTGCTCCTCCTTGACTTCCTGTTTGTCCTCATGTAGCCGAGACACGATCCTGGTGAACCCTTTGCTTCTCCCTCTCCATCGTTACCAGTCTTCTTCCCTTCTTTATCTCTCCATAGCTTATTCTGTCACCGGCTCTCTCCCCCAGGTGTGATGCCTGCATGCTGCCATGGCAACTGCAGATGCTCTTCTTTCTTTTGCCCTGCCCGTGCCTGTGTCCGGGCTGCTGGTCACACACAGAGGACATATATGACAATACCTGGAACTAAGCTGGCTGGATCATTCCACTAAAGAGATTTCAGTCTAGTAATTGACAATGTAAAACACTGTACCAGGCATTTAAAGAGTGTGTCCCCTCCAGGGCGCAGAAGTGATTTACTTTATACAGGACCACTCAGTGAGGGAAAGACAGTCTACTAAACAAATAGTGCTGGGTAAACTGATCACACACACACACACACACACACACACACACACACACACACACAAAGTGCAGGGGCTGGAGAGATGGCTCAAGGGTAGAGAGTACTCGCTGCTCCTGCAGAGGATTCCAGTTCAGTTCCCAGCTCCCACACGGTGGCTCACAACCATCTGTGACTCCAGTCCCAGGAGATCTGACCCCTTCTGGCCACGGTGGGCACTGCATACACATGGTGCACAGACATGCATTCCGGCAAACACTAATACTCATTAAAAACAAAAAAGCACAATGGAACTCTCATCTAATGTCAAGTGCAGACAGTCATTCAAAATGGATCTGTGGTCTAAATCTAAGACCCCAAACATTTTCTTAGAAAAAAATGAGGGATAAAAATCACCCCAAAATTGGTTTGGGCAATGATTTATTAGCTATGAGATCAAGTCACAGATGAAAGAATAGAGAGGAAGAGAAAAGAGGGGGCAAGGGAAAAGGGAAGGAAAGAAATGGGAGAGGAGGAGGAAGAGGAGGAGAGAGAGAGAGAGAGAGAGAGAGAGAGAGAGAGAGAGAGAAGGGGAAGAAAAGGGAAGGGATGACAAAGTGGATGTCATGAAAATCTAAAACTTGTGTGTATCAAAAGACGTAAGAATACTGGGCAGTGGTGATGCACGCCTTTAATCCCAGCACTTGGGAGGCAAAGGCAGGTGGATCTCTGTGAGTTCAAGGCCAGCCTGGGCAACAGAGTGAGTTCAGGGAGAGCCAGGGCTGTCACACAGAGAAACCCAGTCTCAAAAGCAAACAAACAAAAGATACAAGAATAGAAAGACAACCCAGAGAATG